AAAGCCCTGGGAGACATGGTCTTTGTATATAGCCTGGCTGTATTGCTTCTAACTCACAGAGCTCCTGGCTTCTGCAGATCTCCCAAGTGCTGGGGTTAAGGTGCGCACTATCTAGTCTGGCTTTAATCCAGCTCTCCTTCCAGCCATTCATTATCTATTTTCCAGCAGTCCTGGGTGTTGAACCCAGGGTCTTGCTCGTGGCAGACAAGTACTTGGCTGCCAGGCTACTTCCTGAAACCCCACTCATTTCTTTGCCGCTTGAGACTGGGGACTGAACCTGAGGTCTCTCGAATGCCAGGCAAAAGCACTTTACCAACTGAGCTTTATCTTTAACATTGCTTTTTTTGTTTGTTTTGAGGTAGGGTTTCACTTTGTAGCCCTGGGTGGCCTGGAATTCACTATATAGATTTGTCTGGCTTCAATCTCAGAGTTCCTGCCTTGGTCTTCAGTTGTCTCCAAGTGCTGGGATAGAAGGTAAATGTCACCCTGCTCAACTCTCCACCTTACTCTTTAAAACAGGATCTTTTATTGAATCTGGAGGTCACTGATTGGGTTAGGCTACCTGACCAGTGAGTACTAGAGATCCACATGTACTTTCCTAATTGAGTCAAGAGGAGTAGCCCAGGCTGGCCTTCGGTTTGCTCTATAACTAAGGCTGGTATTGAACTCTTCATCCTTACTTTACCTCCCAAGTGCTGGGATTATAGGCATGCATGGCCCAGCCCTGACTTTTAGTATAATAGAAGTAATGTACAGGCACAAATGTAACAAATGGCATTCTAGCAGTTGTGCATTCCAGTAGATAGGTACTCTGCAGAATGGATTTCTCTACGAAAGGACTCAGGCTCCTGCCTAGAATGGCATTAAATCATTTATCAAATGCTTAATGAACGCTCTCATTGAAAGTGGCTGGGTATTGGGCATGTAAGCCTATATATAGTCTCAGCACTGAGGAGATTCAGGCTGGAATCAAGTTGAGTTACATAGGAAATTATGTAGGAGCCTGGGTTACACAGACCCTCTCTCAAAAACAATCAATCAAGGCCAAGTGTGGTGGTGCACATCTTTTTTTGGGGGGGGGATTTGTAAATGTTGTTTTTTTTGCTTTTGTTTTTATTATTTTTTTATTTTATTAGTTCAAATTAGGAACAAGCTTGCTTCAGATGTCAATTCCTTCTCCCTCTCCCTCCCCTCCCCCCAACATCCCACCTGCCCCTAGCCATCCC